GTGATATAATTTTTTTGCATCATTAGCTCGTTGAAGAGATCGCTCAAATAAACTTGGACTGATTCTTCATAGTGAAAACCTAGATTCTGACCTTGGTGGTTGGATCCGGTGACGACGGCGCTTGGGGTTCACTCCCTTCCTGAAGGAGTTACTGTTGAAGAAGTTTGTTGTTCATGTGGTGTCAGAAGATGGTTGGAGCAGATATGGTCATTGCCGATCACAGATCTGATCACTTTGTTTTTTCTAGGGTGATCGATGCTAAATGAAGTTTAACTCCTCAACAAAATATTTCTAGGGAGTTAATGAGTTTTTAGGGGAAGGGCCAGAGATACTCTTAGTTATACTATAATGCCCTTCCATCTAATAAACTTGGTGCTGTTGGTTTTATCAATTTAAATTATACTCCGTATTTTACTATTTGTACCTAGGTTTATAGGACATGAGCTTATTTTTAGCTTTTTTATTATTCGACCATCAAAAATGTATTTGAAGGATGTTTCAGAATACAGTACCTCTTATGCCACATAATTGAAGAAATTGGTCAAAATTGAAGACCTAAAATCTCGTGCATGCCCTGTAAACCCAGACAGAGTGAGTAATTTGTTGCATTGAAATGATATCATTTGATTTGTCATAGATCACTCCATCTTAGTTTTTACGGGAATCCAAAGTTTGATAGTTAATTCCAAAGGCAAAGAGTGACGAGCTATTTTTGATGTACTGGAAACAGGAGCGCGTAAATTCGGGTGAGATACTGTCTTTCTTCCTTTTTTTTTTTGAGGGAATGCTGTCTTGCTTCCTGGTGGGGGCAAAAGTGCTACCGGGCCCAACATAGGGAAGCAATCGGGCCTACAAAAGTTTGGCTACAACTGGGCCTGAGCCCAGTTTTTCTTCCTGTCAACAATTTTTTTGTCCTATCCGCTTAAGTGAATTTGATGGAGAAGCGTCTCACCCTCAATCTCACCTGCCACCATCAATGTGGAGAAACTGATTAGCCAGAGCCATCACTAATCATTCTCCATCAATCTAGCTACTCTAGCTGTCCAGCCAAACGATCGCTGTTCCTGATTTATTATTGATGATCGATGCTGAAAGGGAGACACCGCCACTTCCGTGATGTGATGGTACTCCTAAATAAGTACATTAACAACACAACTTTGTTGATACTTGATACTCCCACCATCCAAGAATATCGGAATTTGCCTTGGTATCTAGATTGTTGAAGATAACTCGTTTAAGTAATGGCGCCACATAGATGATGCAGATAATATACTTCTCAAAACTGTGATGGAGAATTGAAAAGAAGAAAAAGGGACAAAATTTAGACACTAGGCTATCACTTGACGATAGCTGATGTAGCAACTCTATATAGCCGGTTGTTGGTTATACTAGCTATAACCCTGCTCTAATTCAAGGACAGTATAAGAGTATAAGCTGATACCAATATACGTCAGTCACATAATATCAATACGGGGGGATCCCATCTCAGCCGCCGGGGGCTCAACCAATTTGCCTCCCGTCTCGCCGCCATCGGAGGCCACCGCCGGCGAAGCTGGTGCTGGGGCCAAGGACGGTGGCGGTGGGGCGTTCCGCGGGTGAGGCTCGGCCTCCATCCATGGTGATATCGTGATGGCTACCTTGGGTGGCAGTGGTGGCGCCTGGTGCGGTTTCCGTCCTGTGCTGTTCCGGAGGAAGCCGTTCTTCGCCGTCCACCGGTGCATGATGGCCGTCACAGCAAGCGCAGGTGCAGGCTCCAGCGATGGTGCACATGGTTCGAGCGCCCTGATTCAGACCAGGTGTCGATCCGGTGACATCAACGGCAGCCCCACTGATCTGTTGATCTAGGGGTTAGTCCATGCTAGCCTGCCTTTGTCCGAGCTCATCTTCGTAAGACAACCCCTGCTGGCCGCCTCCGGTCCCCTCGTCTAGATTGCGGCAGGGTAAACCCGGGGTCCCTTCGATGACAGGCTATGTGTGGTGATCACTTCAGCCTGCGGCAGTGGCCTCGCTGCGGATTATCATCATCAATTGATTTTGTGAGAGTTTTATCTCTAAAAATCCGGTGGTCGATTTCGGCGGGGATATGCAAACTATGAACGATGTCTTGATGCAGAGGGATGGTTGTGTGGCGGTGGCGGTGATGGTCACATCGCATGTAGCTGCTGGTATCGCGGAAAAATGGTGGCGACAACACGTCAGTGACTTCGAGGGTGGTGCTACTTGAGAATCCGGTCTCTGAGTGTCGGGGTGAAAGCCTAGGTCTGCCCCGAGTTGGGTATACCTGGCAATGGCGACATTTTTATGTTGTTACCTTGTTGAAGGCATTGTTCGGAATGCTCAGACCGATTCTTCAGGGTGAAAACGTAGATTCTAGCCTTGGTGGTTGGATCCGGTGATGGCGACGCTCAAGTGTCGCTCCCTTCCTGAGGCATTACTGTTGAAGAACCTCGTCGTCCGTGTGGTGTCATGAGATGAATGGTGCAGATACGGTCATTTTTCTAGTTTGCCCATCGTGGATATGATCGCTTTGGGGCTTTTTTTCTTTTTTCATCGCCTATGCATAGCTTTGGTCCTATATGACTTTGCTATTGCTGGCGTGTTTTTGTGTGCGTGAGTTTGTATTGGCTGTGTGCATCTTCACTATGCAGAGGCCGGGTGTGTGCTCATTGTGTTTGTATCCTCTTGATGCTACATTTTGAGTTAATAAAATCCACACTTTGTCGAAAAATTCAAGGACAGTAAGCAGGTACAGCTACGTACCTAAGTACCATTCATAAATATAATAATCTAATGGACCACCTAAGAGCTTCTGAGTGACCTACCAAGTACCAAATGCAGTCAATTATATGTACTCAAGTAATACTGCGAAAAGCAAGCCCATGTGACCTACCAAGTACGAAATGCCCGCATGGATACATAGCTCAACTGCTAGTAGTTACTCAGCCATCAGCATCAACCATTCATTCAAAAACTAACTGTAATTAACACAGGGTAATCAAGCAACGTACAAATTCTTATACTAAGCACTAGTGAAAAGTAATTTAGATTCCCTTTACACATTATTTATTGTAGAAAGCACTAGTGAAATGTAATTTAGTTTCCCTTTACAGATTATTTTGGACAGCAGGTTTGATCCACATCTCCCAGTTACACAAAGCAAACCCACTTGCTTATAATTAAATCATGCACAAGACAGAACAAAAGCAAACAACTCGCTCTGTACAAGTAGAACTAGGCGCGGATCAAGCCGTGCACGGCGCCGGCGCCGGCGGCCTTGCCCTTGACGGCGAGGTAGTATGGCAGGAAGGCCCCCCTGCCGACCCCGGCCGCGGCGGGCACGGCCATCGACGGCGTGACCTGCAGGAACATGTAGTTGCCGGCGAAGAGGTCGGCCACGCAGGGCCCGCCCTCCTTGAGCCTAGTCACCACCCGGGCCACTGACGCCCGCACCCTGCCACCCACGGCTGCCGCCCTCCGACGCAGCGCCCGCGCCAGGCTCGAGATCCTCAGCGGCCTTCCGCGCCGGCGCGGCCCGGTGCCCGAGGACGACCGGCGGCTCCGCCATGTCCTCCTGCTGGCGACGATCGCGGCGGCTGCGTGGCGGTAGTAGTGGTCCTGAGCGGCGGCCACGGCGTAGTGATCGTCCTCCTGGTCGCTGGCGGGAGGGGGTGGGGGCGGGAGCTTCTTGAGCTTCTCGTACGCGAAGCTGCTCATGGTGAGGTAGGAGGAGGACGGCGGTATGGCGAGACAGACAGAGGGTGGAAGAAGAAGTGAAGAAGCAGAGAGTGTACGTAGCTAATTAAGCTAAGCCGGGGGTGGTGGCTGTGGCCGGTGATGAATGATGGCTCAACCAAACGTGTACTACCACTCTAGTAGTAGTAGCTCGTGATCTGATGTCGCGGGCCTTACACGTCGCCGTGTACGCCATGGCCCATGGGTCCGTGACAACGTCGCATTGCCGACCGAGACCGGGAGCCACCATCAACCATGGCTGGCAAGATCGACGCTACCGGCCGGCCAGTTCTGTGCATGTACGTACCGGACAGGCAGACAGCGAGCGTAGCTACGTGAAACGAACTCGCACATGATCTTTGCGTGAGCCAGCTAAATTCAGCCCGTACTCGAGCGTGAACGTGGTATAGCTCAGTTTACCGGAGTTGCGTGTGCCAGTGCTACGGATCGGCTGTCACGTCGGCTAAGCTCGGTAAAGCAGGGTTGGTGATCGGGACGGCGGCGCGCGGCGGGCCGGAGTTAAGGAGGGCGCAAATATGGTTGGGGCGATGGAATGGATGGATGGATAGGGCAGGGCACTGTTTTTCACAAGGACACCGTTTGTTGGCTGCTGACTCGACCGGACTGCTGCGCGATGCTCGATCGCATTGATGCGCCGCGCCGGTCGCACTGCTGCTCAGTTACTCGCTGCCAGCCGGCCGGCCGGCCGGCCGCCGGTGGCCGGTCGACGGTTGTACGTTGTTGAGCATCGTTTCGTCGGTTGGTCTCCACGTGCGTCCAAAGGGGTCGCGGTCGTGCGCACTGTGCGTCCATCGGTGGCCGAAGGACGTCGGACCGGCCCGGCGGAGATGGATTGACGGCGACACCGCAGCTGAAGCGTAGCGCGCGACGAATCCGATCCAATCGGGTTGGGTGGCGGCGCTGGCTGGCCGGGTTCCTGCGCGCTGCAGCATGGGGTGGGTGCACGTCGTGACATGTGGGCCTGGGAGCAGAGTGACCCAATTGCAGAAACTATGACGATTTGCTGGTCCAGAATTCTCCGGAAGGAATATTAATGCAATATAGTCTACCTACACATGTGAAGTGTAGGGAAGATGTGGATTTAATTCGCAAAAATAAATAAATAGATGTAGCATACCAATTGAAAATACTCCCTTGATTTACTTATATACAAGGCCATTATAAAATATACATTTTGCATCTATACAAGGCCACCAACAGTAATCGAGACAAAAATTAGTTATGTTTCCTCGTACTAACAATTTATTTAATACTTGCATGCATGTAGTCATAATGACACTTGGCTATTTTCTACATTCAGTTTTCTTGCATGCATGCAGTGTATTACATTATTACAGTACACGAGAAAGAAAGTTGGATTGCAAAACATATATTAAATATTACCTTGGTACCTGTAATTTGAGTTTGTGGCCTTGTATATAAAATTGAGGGAGTACAAATGGCTATACGGTACTCCCTCGATTCACAAGTACTAGTATAAGATAACTTTATTTTAGTCGAATGTATATTAGACACGTTTTGGTATGTTTGTTTACTTATTTCGGTCCGTATGTAGTTCATATTAATATTCGAAACATATTTGTGAACAGGGAGAATACATCTTACGGCAAAGCAAGCATCGGTACCAAGGGACCAGTTTGAGAAAGAAAAGGTTACGTTTTGAAACCCCGCACCCGGCGGGCACGAGCTCAATAAACTTGTCATAACCTAATATCACATTGGCTGGTTACTGTAACGGCAAACATATATAGAACACACCAGTCAGTATTAAACGTGAACAATTTACTAGTTAGTTGGGTGTAATTAGAATGGCACTTTTCTCTGTACTTTTTTTATGGGGAATGACCACTTTCATCTTGTACACATAACGATTTTATTAAGAGATTTCTGTCAACATTATGTTTTTTGTTTTCTGTGGTCCCATTATGTATAATTGCTCAATTTTCCTAGATGCTATTGGCAGCAAATGGAAGTTCTTTTTCATACAGTTTAAACTGTAGTATAAGGGTGCGTTTGGTTCAAGGGGTATATTTGAGTGCTTGTGGGTATCCCCAGCCAACCGGCTCGGGATAGCCATTTTTGTGTTTTGTTTGGGTGGATGTGAGGAGCCACAAATTTGTTTGGCTGAAAGGACAAAAAGGGGATGAGAGGACTCTTCACTGTTAAGAATCCATGGTTAGTTTCGAATCTGATTCTAACCATGGTTTCGGAGCCCCGTTGCCATCTTGACATCAGATACACACACACTAAGCATTAGCAGCTGATTACAAGCGTTTCAATTCCCAACTAGTTTCTCTACACTTAAGACTCACCAAAAAAAGTCAGAGATAAAACAGACAACTCGGCATCATGAGTACCCAGGATAAGCAGGGCATGCACAAGTTGCAATGTTTTAAATAGCGGGCTATGGCATATAGCGGCAACTCTTAAAAACAGCTATAGTTGGGCTATAGTGGGTTATAGCGGCAAATTGTACATGAAATCATTTAGCGGTAACATGCTCAAACAGCTATAGCGGAGCTATAGCAAGGCTATAGCCGGCTATTTAAAACTATGACAAGTTGCAACACAACATAGTTTGTCAGTTCGCCGGAGCATATCACAGGCCAGCAGCATCGACTACTACAGCACGCGCGGCCCACGCCAAGGATATGCTCCTCGCAGGCGCACCGACCGGAGGGAATATCTTCCATCTGCTGGGCATAAACGGTCGCGCGCGGCACTCGCCTAGATCTGGTGCTGCCGCCATGACCTCTATTCCAGGAGAGAGAAGGAAGGAGAGGGCACGACAAGAAGGAAGATAAGGAAGCAGAAAGCCAGGCCGTCGTGGCGCTGTGTAGTCACTTCCTTTGCCGCACTTCCGTATTCCATCAGGCTAGTCATAGTGGGAGTAACTTAGGTAGTAACATAGCGTACTCCAAGAAAATTTTGCTTATGTGGCAAGTAATTGATGAGAGGTGGTAACATAATATGTTATTATAACATAGCGCTTCCCGAGACAAGATGAGTCTACAAGTTAATAAATGAAACCATTTATGATACTACTATTATGTTACTTTGCATTATGAAGGTAGTAATTTAGACTAGTGTCATATGTATGACACTAGTCTAAGTTACTCCCCACTATGACCAGCCTTAGCAGCGGCGGCCACCACAGAAGAGAAGCGGATGGACAGGGGAGAAGCGCGCGGATTGGGTTTGTGGCAGATGAAAGAGCGAGGGGACGCGAAAAACATTTCGCGCTTTGGCTTTCGCGGCCGCGCGCGAGGGATGCCCAGATCCACGACTTTCTCGCGTACGTGTGGGGCCCCATTTTGATGGGATCTCTACTTCTAATGTCTCAATTGGTAGGTCGCGTTTCGGGGTTTATTTTCGTCCCACCTCACCCGGTTTTTTTGGTACTTCCTCCCACCTTCCTTTCACCCGAGACGGTTTATTTTCATACTCCCTCCCACCTCCCAGGTAGTTCCCTCCACGCAAAAAAAAATCGAACGAACCATCGTTCGTTCGTTCACTTCCACCCATCGATCGAAGGAAGTCCCACCTCTCCTCCCCTCGTCCCACCTATTCACCCACCGATTTTTCTCTCCCTTGTAAGATACAAAACCAAAAAAAAAAACCCGTTAAACACCTGTACGTCTCTCTCCCCTTCCCCAAACCCTAGCCGCCACATGTATCGAGTGAGTAGAGGAGGTAGAGGATGCCCACCATCTCCTCGTCCCGTGCGTACCGTCTCCTCACCCCATGCCTAGCGGCGGCCTCCCTCCACTCCCATACCGCGACGCACCCCTGACTGCGAACCGACACGTGTGTGACATGGTGAAGAGGAGGATGCACGCCGCCATGTGTACGCCGCCGGCCTCGCTGCACTCCAACGGCCTCCTCCCCACGCTCCGATCGGTGGCCTCCCTCCACCCCTTGTTGTCACTGTTAGGTCACAGGCAGGAAACTCACGCGATCACGGTGGTGGCGAGAGACGCACTCAGCAGAACGACACAAGGAAGGAGATGATTTTGCGCCGCGTAACTTCCTTGGCTTTTCCTTTTCTATCCTTTATTCAACGAGAATCAAGATCCTAAAGTTACGCCACAACTCCAGATGAATCGTGCCATCCCACGACTCGGCGTTGTGGCCCAACAATACACACACGACCCGGCTAAACCTAGACTCTCGGGTCAGCCCATAACTAAAGCATGCAGCACGTTACATGTGCCCTGCCAACTACCTGTAACTTAACACAAAAATAGAAAAACAAAACACACCTCAACGTGAACAAGCACTACAAGTTGAAAACACATGCAACGCACACAGTACCCTACAGAACTAGTGCATGGAGCTAAGGACTAATGGAATATTTGAATTAAGCAATGTAACAAGATTAACACCAACAGTCACGGTCCCCTGGCCTTCATCCACCCGCGGAGGACTTGTTAACCTCGGAATCTCTGCCGCCAATCTCAAAGCCGATCTCGCCGCCTTACCCTCCCTCCACGACGAGAACCCACAACCGAGCGACCACCAGCTCTCGCCCCGAGATCGCCAACAACTCCCACTGTCTATTCCACCTGCAGCGCTCGCATCGAAGCCCCACACATCCTGCAGCGCTGATGTGCCGTTCATCCTCCAGCCATCGACGCAGTGGAGTGGATCAACGTGGATGCCATAGTTGGACAGGTACAGTTTGGATCCGGGACTGCGGTTCCTCCATTGCCTTGTGCTGGCAGGTACAGTTTGCCCATTTTTATTCCCGTACTATTTAAGCTGCTGGAAGAAGGATGTTTGGTACAGTAAGTTTCAATTCTAGGATTACAAATCTAAAAATTCAATTCATAAGGATTCCTGTCAAACTCACAAGAACATGCATATAGATAGGAAGCAGCAAATTAGCCCGTACGTGGTCTAACTTGTACATGATGATTTATTGCAGATTCATGTCAAACGCATATCTGGTCTAACGTGTG